TTTGGCACTTAGTAGCTGCTCAATAAATATCTGTCTGATGAATGAGCTGATGAAGAAATGGTATAAATGCCTATTTTGTCTCTATCAGCATAATGTGCAGTTCTCTGAGGAGATGGCTAAGTTGCCCCAGGTTCCTACCAGAAACAGGAGAACCACCAGCAATCAATATGGAAATGCAGCTACCAGAGGCCCTAGTTCTAAAGGCACATCTCTGTGTTCACTTTGATCACAGTGAATTATTAGAAATATAACTAAACATATTTTAATGTGACAGATGAATTACAAATCAGAACTTATCCAGCCAAATCAGGAATCCCAGTTTTTGCTTTAGAAACTGTGATTACTATATGTGTCCCCACACAAAGGTGGTGGCTGCTCCCACAACCACCTGCTCTCCTAGAGTGGCTCTGACCCATTAGTCAAACAGACCCCAGGGCACCAATGGAAAAGCCCAGGCCCCTGTAGGTGATGGTGTTTCTCAACGGGAATAAATAAAGTGGTATCCACTTTATGCACAATGTTCTTCTGGGTTGATTGAGCTGGAATGGATCCCCCTAACTCTGGCTTTTTGTAGCAAAGGTAAGGTAGTTTCTCAACCTACAGAAATGAGTACCACACCGTGGCCATGCCACCCTGTGAGTTCTATCAGGGCGGCCAGCTCGCCTTCCTACAGCACCTGATAGCATTTCTGACATTGCGATGACATCCCTGCTCCTGCTTCCTGACCATCCTCCTCCTTTTCTTCATGCTTCCTTCAGCACTTCATCCACTATGCAGGTCACATAAGCTGGAAGCCGGCCTGGCAAGCTTCCCATTACAAGTGCCGTCTCAGGAAGGCATAACTGGTCCACAGACTCTGGCATGAAGGGGACTCAGCAGCCCACAGACTGCTCTACCTACCCCTGGTGCACCGGTCAAATAATGTCCAGGAAACGGACTGCCTGAAGTCAGGAGTTTGAGGCCACCCTGGCCAACATGATAAAACCCTACCTCTACTAAAAATACAAAAATTAGTTGGGCATGGTGGCACATGCCTGTAATCTCAGCTACTTGGGAGGCTGAGGCAGGAGAATTGCTTGAACTCGGGAGGTGGAGGTTGCAGCAAGCCAAGATCATGATCACCACTGCACTCCGGCCTGGGCCACAGAGTGAGACTCCATCTCAAAATAAATAAATAAATAAATATACATAAATAAATATACATAAATAAATAATAATGCTGCCCGGGAAGAAAGAAAGAAAGCGCAGTAGGAAAAATGGGCTCCGCTCAAAGGACAGAGGCTTCCGCTTCTGACAAGATGGAACAACGGGATCAGATTTCTCCTCCCATCTGAAACAGCTGAAAAACTGAACACATAAATGAAACAACTGCATTTCAATACATGGAACATCAGGCAGTGAAAGACAGTGATCCTAACGATGTGAGACAAATCGGATGAGCCCCCCAGCTTCTGCCTACAGTTTCTGGGATGTATTCAGGAAAAGGGAAGCCAGCGAAGCTCGGTGGTCTCCCTGAGTTGAGGAGAGGTATTGAATTCCAGGAAAACCAAGGCAGCTAGAGATCACAGGGCAAAGTACCAAAGAGGAGAGGTCTGCAGAGGGTCTCCCTAAAGTCTTCAGCTGACATGAGCAGTGCACATATGTCAGGAAATGACCCAAGGCCAAAACAAGAATCCTTTGGTTGCAAAAGAATTAAAGGGAACAATGTCTCAAGTTCATGTAGGGCTGGGAATAGTTCCTGTTTCCACAGCCAATATGGAACAGCTCCGAGTCATGAAACATTATAGAGTACTTACTCAAAGAATTTTGTCTCAGTAACTTTTGGCAAAGTTAGCCTTACATTAAATACTGTTCTGGTCCTGCCTAACAAAGTTTAAAACCAGGACCTGGAAGATTAAACTGTATCCGAGTAACTTAGTTGTATCTCCCCGCCTCAAAAAACTCAGTATTTATAGACATACAAATATATCTAGCATCCAACAAGGTAAAATTGACAATGTCTGGCATTCTCTCAAAAGTTACCAGACATGTAAATAAGAAGGCAAATATGATCCATAATTGTAGGGAAAAGAGAGAGAGATCAGACTATTATTGTGTCTATGTAGAAAAGGAAGACGTAAGAAACTCCATTTTGACCTGTATCCTGAACAATTGCTTTGTCCTGAGATGCTGTGAATCTGTAACTCTGCCCCAACCTTGAGCTCACAGAAACATGTGTTGTATGGAATCAAGGTTTAAGGGATCTAGGGCTGTGCAGGATGTGCCTTGCTAACAAAATATTTACAAGCAGTATGCTTGGTAAAAGTCATTGCCATTCTCCAGTCTCAATGAACCAGGGGCACAATGCACTGTGGAAAGCCGCAGGGACCTCTGCCCTGGAAAGCCGGGTATTATCCAGGGTTTCTCCCCGTGTGATAGTCTGAAATATGGCCTCGTGGGATGGGAAAGACCTGACCATCCCCCAGGCCCACACCCGTGGAGGGTCTGTGCTGAGGAGGATTAGTAATAGAGGAAGGCCTCTTGCAGTTGAGATAGAGGAAGGCCACTGTCTCCTGCCTGCCCCTGGGAACTGAATGTCTCGGTATAAAACCCGATTGTACATTTGTTCATTTCTGAGATAGGAGAAAAACCGCCCTGTGGCGGGAGGTGATGCGTGTTGGC